AAAATTTAAATAACTAATAAATATTTAATATTATATATATGTTTTAAATGTAATTTTTTATTTGAATATTTGGACGAAATTTGAATCCGGGTGGGCTCGGCCCAAATAGCCCCTAATATCAAAAAAGCATTATTTTATTGAGCTAGGTCTTAAAAGTTTTTAGATTTGTTTGAGTGGGCTTGAATTACTTTTTCTAGTTTTAAGACATCCTATGATTTTCCAAAAGCCTTGGATATGTTAATTGGATCCCTATAAAGCTATAACTCAAGTTATGAATTTTCTAAATTAGTGCTTAAAATTTGGACCTAGTACGTAGCTTAAATAAGACAGTCTTAAGGATTAAATGAACAGTATCAATTTAGAAACTTAAAGTTGCGTTTCATATTTTTTCCATCTAAATAAAGTCATAAGTTTTCAAAGAGTATGAGTTCACGTCAATTTAGAAACTTAGATATGAATTTTGCAAGATAGGACAAAAAATTAGAAAAATGATAATAAAATCTCTTTAAATTATATAAATGACAATTTAATTTCTCAAAATATTATAATTTCAGTGAAGTTCCTATAAACTTTTTTCTCATTAATGAATTTATATAAATAATTAAATTGCTCTTATAATAATATTAGGAATTTGACATGCGAAATTGTGATTTGCTATTTCATTGTTGTGAACATAAAGAGCAAAATTATAATTATTTAAACAAAACTTGTGATCATTACTTGTTATCTCCAATATTTGTAGCAATATCAAGAATTTGATATGCAAACTTGTGATTTACTATTGCATTGTTTTGAATATAATAAGGAAAGTTGTGATTATTTAAATGACACTTGTGATTATTACTTGTTATTTCTAACATTTACAGCAATATTAGCAATTTGACATGCGAAGTTGTGATTTGTTGTTGTATTATTATGAATATAAAAAGAAAAATTGTGATTATTTAAACAAAATTTGTGATCATTTTATTTTTAACAAAGGTAATTTGGGCATTTATATAAATTCATTAATGATAGAAAAGTCCATAGGGACTTCAATAAAATTATTACATTTTAAAGGATTAAATTGTCATTTATATAATTTAAAGGAATTTTATTGTCATTATCCAAAAAAAAAAACTAATAACTCATTTGGATTTTAGTTGGATATAATTAATTATAAAAATAATTAATTAATATGATTAATTTTAATTAAAATTGATTACTTTATAACACAAGATACTAAAATTGATTTTACCTATACAAATTATCATAAAGGATATTGCTTTTCAAAATTAAATTATTGATAAAGTTGTATTTTATATTATTAAATTTGTTAAACTTTATTTAAGAAGTAAAATATATTATTTAATGATAAATCTGAATCTATAAGTAATCTCCTAGAGCTTATTTCAAAATGTAATTCTTGCTCAATAATTAATTATCAATTTTTTTACTGTTTAGATAATTATTCTAAAATTTGATTGTTTGAGCTCCAAAATTGATTATAATGTCAATCCAAACAAGTTCTAAGTAGTTTTGAAGATTTATTAAAATGTAATAATGGGAGAAGCAAAAGTCAAGTGATATATTTTTCTCTTACAGAGGACACCTTGGGCTTTATACTCCTTCCGTTTAAAAATATAAAACATTTTTAATCGAATTTCATCCTTTAATAAAGTAGTTAACTACTTTTTAACTAATCCTATCTTTTTATATTTATTCTTATTAAATACTCTATAATAAATATAAAGTCATTATTAATAAGGGTACTTTTAAAAAAAAGGCAATGATTATATCTCGAAAGATTAAAAATGCCTTATATTTTTAAATATTTAATTTCTTAAAAAATATCTTATATTTTTTAATGAAGAGAATAATAAGTTCTAGATAACCTAAATTGAATAAGTATGGTCCAAGATATGAATTTTCAAAACTAACACAAGAAATTAGAAAAAAAAAATGGAAAGGGCAAAATAGAGAGAGACATTTACTTTAACGAATGAGTTGTGTTAAATAGCTCAATCAAAGTTTAGCTTGATATTTTTCCTATATAAAGGCCTGTTTTAGATTTAGACGAAGACAAGATTGAGGTCAATCATAATTTTCGATAATCAATTATGAATTTTTGAAATTATTCCAAAATTCTAGAAATACCTAGTTCAAGCAAAATTAGGTTGAACTTGAGTTTTCAAGTCTTTCTTATCTCTAATTGCTCCCAGTAAAACTTAAGATGGCTTCCATTATCAAATAATGATTCACAAAGTCAGATGTCGCATTTCTGGCTCAAGAAAACTCTCTCATTGCTAGCACCCTCAAGATCGAAGAAATACTTAAAAAGTATTGGCGAAAGGCGAAACGAAATTCAAAGCTGGATATTCTTGGACGATGAGAAATGTCATCAAGACCACAACAATAATTTTAGAAGCACACACTCTAATGCTTATTACAAGAAACCTTTCAATTTCAAAAAAGATCGATGATGCTTGTTAAAAATTACTTGATGGGTATTAATTATAATTTTTTAATATTATTTTTATTTACAGTTATTAATTATGAGAGACAATATAATTTATTTTATTTTTATTTAAATAAAATATGTAAATATGAAAAATTTTCATTCAAGTATAGGTAAAATTGAAAATTTATTTATTTTTAAATAAAATTAATAATTTAATCATGTTTTCTTAATTCGAATGAGGTGATTAGTTGTGTTTTATAATAAAGATCAAAATAATGGTGAGAACTCTCTCCACTTCCCTTCTCATCCTCTTCTCTTCCTTTTCCTAATTTCTAACAATCAAATTAAGGTTTGAATGGTCCAGATTTGATTTCTTATATAATATTTTATTTTGTTTTGTTTTTGTTGTGTTTTTTAATAGTTCATATTATATTTTAGTAGTTTGAATTTCATTATTTTTTATTTTTTTAAAATTTAATATTTTAATAATATTTTTATAAGAGGTAGAATTTGAACCATTTAAATCTTGATCTAATAATAATAATAAAAAAAAAAGAATGAAAGAGAACGAGAAAGGGGAAGGAGAGAACTCTTGCCCCAAAATAATGAAAGAATAATAATAATATAAAGTAAAAAACGAGTTGTTTAATTATATGTTCTCTTCTTATGTTTTTAAAATAAAACACAACACAACGTCAAAAAGTTGTTTTAGCTTTTTAGTTTTTCGAAACAATTTTATTTTTTATTTTTTTAAAATACATCACAAGCTACTATCAAGCATGATTTTTTTTCCTTGGGTTAAAGAATTTTTGGCCATCAATTATTCATTCAAGAATATTTAATATCCTAAATTACATATGATATGATTTTGCCTTTCAACATTTGAAAATAGTGTACTAAAAGCTTTGTCGTTTTTTTTTTTAAGTTAACATTGATTATTAGTTAATTAAAAAAGAAAAAAATTAAGTATAAGTTTTGTGGAGCAGTCTTATTTACAAGTAAGTCTTACAAAATTTAAAAATCATATCCAGATCTCTTGAGACTAAGTGTAATTTAAAATTGAGCTATAAAGACAATAATATTTGTATAAAACATATATTACATCAAACAAATAATTAATTTATAGTTATTTTATCAGTAATTTACAACTATAATTTTAATTTTTTACAATCATAACTTCACATATCTAATAGTTAAACAATCATATGATACCAACAAAGTTTAACATTAATTAATTATTTAAAACTACTTCATTAATTTTTTATAACTGTAACTTTACATATCCAATAGTTAAATTAATCAATTTAATTATTGAATATATGAAATCAATATTGTAAAAAATTAAAGTTATAGTTATAAATTACAGATGAAGTAATTGTAAATTATTTAACTAATGTAATGTATATATGTTTAATAGGAGTATTATTATCTTTCTATCCCAATATCAAATTACGCTCAAGTTTCAAAGGATTTTATTGTAATTTTTGAAATTCACTGGACTTATTTGTAAATTAGTCATCTCCATGTAATCTATATATAATTCTTTCATTAAAAAATAACAAAACAAGGACCTCAAACATTAGAAAGTGACTTATAAAATTACACATAAGCATCTTATGAGAAAATTAAAATAAATTAAATCCTCTAAATTATATATAAATAACATGATACAAATGCTATTTCTTACCTATATAAAAAGTCAAATAAGATTTTGACCAAATATTAGTTTAAGGACTATATCGATATTAATTTTTTTATAGAGTATTTACTTGCAATTTCATGAATCATTTTCTATAACTTTTAAAGTCTTTTTTTTTTTGTAATTTTTAGCTAACTAATTATCAAAGTTTAATTTTTTTTTTGGTGACTGGATGCACTATTTTCAAATATTGAAAGCATGAAAAATTACATATAGATCTTGTAGGGCAAACTTATTTATAAATAAGTTTCATGGAGTTTAGAAACTATAGTCAAGTCCCTTGAGATATAAATATAATTTTAAATTAGTGTACAAAGACAATATTGCCCTTATTAAAAATATTGAAGTTATAATTGTAAAATATTAAAGTAATACTTGTAAATTATTAATGAGATAGTGGTAAATAATTAGTGTTAAAATTTGTTAGTAAAGTATGATTGGTTTAATTATTAGATATATAAAATTATAGTTATATAATATGGAAGTGATAATTATAAATTATTGATGGAGTAATTGTATACAATTAATATTAAATTTATAATGTATGATTAGTTTAATTATTAAATAGGTGAAGTTATAACCATAAAAGTTAAAATAATAGTCATAAATTAATGATAAAGTAATTATAAATTATTTAATTGATATAATATATTTATTTTTAATTTTGTAGAAGTTATTTATAAATAAATTTACCCCATGAAAACTATGCATAATTTTCTTATGAAAGTAAAATTATATCCGTGTAAAAAAATTAGGATACCAACCCCATGAATGGTTGAAAGGGAAAAATGATTTTAACCCTTTTTTTATCTTTGTAAGTTTCAAAACAATAAAAAAAAAAAAAAACTTTTGAAAATGTAGGAAATCAAGCTGGCCCAAATGCTCTGCTAGTGACTCTGCTTTCGCGTCCCACATTCACTTCTTGCGCTCAATTCCGTATTGTGATTCTGCGATTCTCATTTTCAGGTCTTCCACGTTTTGCCTCTCTATCTACTGCTATTCTTCTCTAGTTCTGTTGCCATGTTTGTCACTAGGGGTTTCTCCCGCATCGCCAGGAATGTATGCTGGAGCTACAGGCTTCTCTCTGCATCGCACTCGCCACATCTTCCTTCCTATGGTCTTCAATCTCCCGAAAATGTACGTATTTAGAATAGGTGGAAATGCTGGTCTTTTGTGCTTTTATTTTTTTGGCGAAGGTTTTGTTAGGGTTTCAGGATTACTGTAAAATCTATATGTTCATGTTCTGAAATCAAGTGACAGGGCTTGCTAGCAATCTTTATTCCCTTGTTCTTTAATCTCCCAACAAAGTACGCTACTAGAATCCGGTGAAAATGTAATTTCTCGCACTTTTTGTGCTGAAAGGTTTTACTAGGGTTTTAGGATGTTCACAAAAAGTGATAATCTATTTTTAATTCCAATTCGTATTTCTGTGTATGCTAAGTTATTTTGGTGCCACTTTTGCATTACGTTTAGCGAATACAAAAACAACTGGTTGCTCGTTTTCTCATCTCATTCATTTCTCTTTGCGTAGAATTTACTACTGAAGCAGACGTGCGAGTGTTATTGTATGGTAACATAGATGTTGATAGGCATTTTCGTTTTGCTGCTTCCAATCTTTTATGTCCCCTGTGGTCAGAACAGTATTAAAATGTAGCAGCGCAAGTAGTTTAGATTTTACATTGTAATTTATATTGCTTCTTTACATTTGGGCATGATCTATTTAACTTTCGACTTAGTCAAATTGTTAGAAAAATCCATTTTTTATCTGCTTCAGAAAGAAGCAGTATCGGTGAAGACTCTTCAATTTGACACTTATGCATCACTTCTCATAGTTGAATGCAACAAATTGTTGCTGAGCTTTTTATCTTACTATATTAGGTCTTCAAGTTCTTTACTTATTTTCAGTCATCCCTCTTTTTTAAGTGTTTTAAGAATTGTAATTTGTTAGTTGGTTAATGAATATAACTTCCTTTTATCCATGAAGAGGTTGTAAGTCCCAAAAAATTTCTTGTTTCTCTAGTTTCTCTACTGTTAGTGATTGTATGAAAGAATGTAGTTTACAATTGTTGTTGTCCTATTCTTCCAGATGCAAATCTTCCTGAAACATTCCTGATATGGTATATAACCATCGACCGCCAAATTCTTATTAAGTGCTGCACATGCTTTCTGATATTCCAGACAATTCCAGTTCCAGTGAACTTGTTGCATCAGGCGATAAATGCATCCTCAACTCCAAGAGCTTTATTTTTTTCAACCTCACCTAAACCTGATGGAACGGAGTATGGAAGTGAAGAAGCTAAAGCTAGTGTTGGGGCTGGAAGTTCTGGGCAGGCTGAAGCTAAAAAACAGACCAATGGATCTGGTTATATTTTAGAATCTGTCTCAATCTCTAAATTAAAAGAGGGAAGTTACTAAATGAACTACTTTTTCTGATTCAGGCTTAGAAAGTGAAGTGGATTTTTCCAGGGACGGAAGAGAGTTTGTTGTGGAGGTCTATTTTCTTAGCTTCTTGTTTTGCACTTAAAATGCCTTCCTCTAAAATATTTCCTCTTCAACTTTGTGCTTAGTAGTTCCAAATATGCTGCAGAATTTTGCAAAGGGTTTGCTAGATGTGGTGGATGATTTGAGAAGGATGTCATTTGTTGGAAATGACAAGTTTTCAAAAATTGATGCTTCTAAGGGGTTAGATGGAGCAGATTCACTCCTGAAAAAACTTCATGCATGTCTTCAAGGAGCTGAGAAGCAAGTTGCTGAGGTAAAATGTTCTATGTATAGTGTCTCTGTTGTTGTGATTGTCAAAGATGATCTATCACATAGTTATTATTAGCTAGCCAACTTTGGCCCAAGTTATAACTTGTAGCTAATGCGGTGGTGCCTAGTGCTATATCAAGTGTGTAAGGTTGCAGCTTTGTTATAGCTTCTGCTATAGCTGCTTTATAGGAAGCACTATTATGTAGCTGTTTTCATGCTATAGGTGCCACATATAAAGCTACAGTATATCTAATTAAGTAATTTTGTGGAGGCTATTTCTGGATATCACTTGACTGATCCACATTTAATATTGAATGATTTAATATTCACTAAACATATGAATTAGAAAGATCACCAGAAGAGGAAAGTGCCATCCTCTAATGGTAGACTCCGAAGATGGAGAGGAAATTGATTGAATGCTTAAAAATAATCATTATGATGATGTTTCTTTTGGTAAAGAGGAATTGGTTCATGTATCTTAGGATAATTCTTTGACACAAATGCTGTTAAATATTGACACATTTTCTGATTCGTGTGCCTAATAGTGTAATTTATGGATGATTATTGTGTTAGTACGATGAGGTCCTTTTAAATTAGAGTTTGGTTTCCTCTATATATTATTCATTTATTAATTATGTTTTGAATTTCTTTTTTTTCTTTTTAACCGTGCGCTACATCTTCATATAGCTCTTGCAATGCTATGCACTACGAGTTGTGGTATTTTGGATCCCCTTGCTCTGTGAGTGCTCTACATGCTATTAATAACTATGACCCATTATTCGAAAATTGATTTTTGTCAAGCATAAGGTAAGATTAACCTTTATTTTATCCAATCCTTCTATAAAATTACACTTCAAGAAGTTGCTTGACTCACAAAGTGAGTATCGAGATTAAGTTAATAGCATCAAATAAAAAACATTAAGTCAATAGCCTTTGAGGAAATTGTTGCAACCCAGGGGCCTGTTTGGTTACTTGCTAGGAAATTGATGTGAATGAATGTAATGAAATATGATGACTATTACTTAATTTTCTTTGGTAGACGTGTGAATCAATTTATTTTTATTTTTAAATTAAACAAAAATAAGTTTAGAAAGAATGAAATGCCCCTCAATGGTTGGTGGTGGTAGAGAATGATGGTTGGCGGTGGTGGGTAATTGTCAGTAGTAATAGATGGTGGTCAACAGTGGCAAACGATGGCTGGTGGTGGCAGAGGGTGGTGGGTGGTGATGGAGGAGGAAGGAGAATAGAGGACACTTCAGTTCTTTCTAGCAAGGATTACAGTGCTATGTAATTTTTCAACCTAAAGTTGGATGTAAATAGGGGATTACACTATTAGATGTAATCAGGCTTCATAATGTAAAGCTGATTACCACATAAAAAATGCAATCAAATTCTGTGTGTGATAATGGAAAAACTTTTACATTACATTATCTCTTGATGTATGTGACCAAATGGCCCTTGTGTTTTACATCATTGTATGATTGAAAGTAACATGCTTCCCAAATCTAGAGGAATAGTGAAAGTACATAAACCTATACTGTTTTTGCTAGCAGGTGGTTAAAAAATGTGATGAATTTGATCCTGAATGTGGGCCTTGTGGTCCAGATAGAGATGGTGCCATACTCGAACTTCAAGTTAGTTCCCAACCTCCAGGCATTTGATGAAGAAAATATTATTCAGTTTGCTTATATTGAAAGTTTGCTTTGATTCAGTTATCCGGTTCTGAAGGTAAATTTACCTGATTGTTGTGCTGCAGAAATTTGCAAAAAGTTTGGTAGACGTGGCAAATAATTTGGGAAGGGCTTCTTCGGTTGCAAAGGATAAGTTTTTGAGTATTGATGCATTTAAGAAGTCTGAGGAAGCTGTACCCATCCTTAAAACACTTCTAGAAGCTGTTGAAATTACTGAGAAACAACTTGACGAGGTACAATGCTCTACTATGTGTTGTCTGTGTAGTTCTGAGTCAAGGATGGTATAGTATATGCATATTAATTATTGATATTTTGATTTAGCTCTTGAATGCCACGGTTACCAGCACTACGTCAGATGTGTAGGCTTGCAACTCTCATATGGCTTTACTGAGGCTGTGCTATATGTAGATGTAGCTCATGCCCAGGCATTGCATAAAAATAAGGCAACAATTGAATTGGTTTTGCAAAGGACATCGCTGAAGGTCACATGATCCATCTTTAGACAATCAATTTAGAATGATTTAGTATTCAAGAACCATATGAGGAGCATGAAAAGAGAGCCATTCAATCCTATCTTCTTATTCTCTTGAATTGGCTGACGAGCAAATGTTAACCCCAAAGAGGAAGAGTTAGTTGATGAATTGCTTTATGATTTTTGCATTTGGTGAAATAAAGGATTTGGTTTACTTATCTTAGGATGAAGCTTAGACTCAAACATTTTTAGATGTGGATGAATTCTGTGATTCAAGTACTTGATGTAGCGATCTATGAATGATTATAATGTTACGATTTTTCTTTTTATGAGTTTGATTATTTGTGAACTGTTATCAATTACATTTTTCAATTAGAGTGATACATTTTCATGCAGCTTTGGCAATGCTATGGGCTACATAATAAAATATAATATTTTGGAGCCCTTGGTGTTACAAGTGCTCTACATCCTCTCAATAATTATGTTGTATATAAAATTTTGTGTGTCATACAGATTAGATGAACCTTTATTTTTGTTATAACATTACACTTAGTCACTTGCCAGATCCATAAAGTGCTTATTGAAATTAAATTATTAGCCTATGAAGAAATCTTTGCAACTTATATTGTCTATTACTGTGTGATTAAGTTTCGTGCTTTCATTTATAGTGGAAAGTGCATAAGCCTATGCTGCTTTTGCTTTCAGGTATTTGAAAAAATTGGTTTGGAAAAAATTAATTCTAAGCAGGAGCTCTATAATCCAGATAGGCATGAAGCCATCATCCAATTTCCTGTTAGTTCCCAGCCTCCGGGCACTATTATTGCTGTTCTGAAGGTAAGTTTGCGTAACATTTTGGCCAAGTGCTGTATAATTCAGTTTGGCAATATTTTAAATTTTTCTTGATTCAGTTGTTAAATTCTGATGATAAATTTACATAATTATTCACTTCCATTTCTCATTCGCTTCTTTTAATGATGGTATGATTGTATTGTGATGGAGTAAGACTATGTACTTAAACTTGTATATTTAATATACTTAAATTCAATCAAATCATGACAAGTTGATCTTAATAAGTTAATTAAATTAATAACAAGAATTTATTATAGAATAAATAAGGAAAAATTAATTCTTTAGTCCTCCAACTTTTAAGTCACTTGTAACTCAGTCTTTAAACTATAACTTATTGTGACTCAGTTCCTCAACCATGACTCGTCTATGACTTAGTCCCTCAACTTTTGAATTACTTACAAATTAGTCCCTTAACTTTTGTTAATTTTTTTTTTCATGTTAGCTTATATCTCACATCAATGAGCAAGAGAAGGATATTTTAAAATAATATATAAGCATTTTTTATCCCTCTTATTTGATAAGAATTTTTTTTAAAAAAGTTTAAAAATAACGACCGAGTTATAGGTGAATCAAAAGTTGAGGGATTGAATCGCAGCGAGTTATAGTTGAGGTACTGAGTTGCAGCGAGTCATAGTTGAGAGACTGAATTACAAGTGAATTAAAAGTTGAAGGATTAAAAAATTAATTTTGTCAATAAATAATTTATAAAAGATCCACATGTTTTAATTTAATTGGAAACAAGTAAATTAAGTATGAGTTTTCCGTGTTGGAATACTATGTTGGACATAGTGTAAAAGTTCCGTAAGTGTTTGCTATCCTCTTTTTTTGGGTAAGAACGTAACATGAAAGGACACATTTGAAAGATCTCTTCATTTGGTCCTGGGTTGTAAAGATCCATATGTCATTATTTGATCGAGAATTTGGTAACAACTACCTGCTCTATTGTCATATTATGTCTTGCACGTTGATGCATTTAATAGATTTTGAACATGAGCTAATAGCTTTATGATGTTTTTGTACGTAGGCCGGATATCTTCTTCATGGTCGTTTGTTACGTCGAGCTGAAGTCGCCACAACCAGAGAAGTGACTGATCAGGATAGAGCTGATGATGCCATGACCCCAGGAATGAATGATGAGGATGGTGGGTTTGATAAGGAGGAGTCCGAATCTCTTGGACAAAGAACTGGATGAGTGGGATCTCATTGTCTTCATTTTGAACAAAGATGAAATATTTACCATGTGAAGCATTATGATTGCTTCTCCTCGGGCACTAGTTTTCTCGTTTAGGCACTACTTGTCACTAACGATATTAATAAATACGTGAATATGTCAAGCACAATTTTTTAGTAAAATTCACTATGAGTATGGCTACGTATTTTTGTGAGAGTAAGAGTAGCCACTTTTTTTTAGAACAAATTTTAGAATCTTAACAAGTTTTATTCCGTTAAGGTATCCTTACAGCTTGAGTATTGCATGTACCAATCGTTGCAATGCTTGGTAGTCGAATGAAGCTAACAAACGAGGAAATTAGCTTCGGATAAGTTCTTGTGCATCTCTTGTAAATTGACAAGTGAAATTATTGAATTTATTGACGAGGGAGCCTCAAGACTCTTCTCTGAGGTGTTTTTTGAATTCAAGATTCCCCCAAAACCATTGATTCTTTTCTTATTAGACGAGAAGATTGGCCAAGGACAAATTAGTACTTTTATTCATCATTCCATGATGAAATTATAAAAATATGGATTACTTTTGCTAGAATAAAATGTAAATTATTATTAACTAATTTTTGTGTTTGTTTTGAAAAAAGGGTGGTTGATATCTTATTTTTTAAGTTTTCACATCATTTTAATCATATTTTTTAATAGAATTAATATAATATTTGATTTATTTAAATCACATTTATTAATTGCTTGAGTGGAATGTAATAAAGTCAATGTATAATTGAAATATATATATATATATATATATAAAATTTATTTAGTATCTTATATTTTAAATCAAGCGAGACTTTTAAAAAATATTTTATATTATAATTTAGAGAGTTTTTTTTTTCCCGATGATTTATGGACTAGTTTTATTTGTTGATCAAGTGAGTTTTCTGGTTTCCCCTCCCCTCCCCCAATAAAAGCACAAGAATCTGATTTCAAGCTTTTTTTTTTTTTTTAAATATCAGCGAATCTGATTTCAAGCTTGACTTCATATAAAATGTGGTTATGTTAATAAATAATTAAGTGGAGTTTTATTTTAAAAAACTGGTTATACTTCAAGAATCAGATTCCATCTGTTATTACTTTAAATTTTTTTTAATAAAGATTAAAGTATACTTTTATTTGTTTAACTTTACACATGATTTTATTTTGGTTCCTTAATTGTGTAAAGTGTATTTATAGTTTTTTAAGTTTAACACTGTTAGTTTTATCATAAAAAATTTTTATATTAAGCTTTTAAATATTGACAAAATATTTTCAAATATTGACATAAAATAATAATGATTAACATAAAAAATAATTATTTAAAAATAACGGTGTTAGAATTAAAGAACTGAAAAAATACTTTATAAAATTAATGGATCAAATTAAAATTTTATATAAAATTAGAAGACTACAAGTATAGCTTTTTATAAATTGTACATAATTTGGTCAACCGTGTTAATTATTTTCAATTTACTCGCTTAATATGGAAAACAAAGATTATATCCCGTTTAAATTTATGCGAAACAAGTAATTCATTTTTTAATATATATTCCATTCGTTAAAAAAATATAAGGTATTTTTAACAGAATCTCACTCCCAATAAAATAATTACTTGTTTTTAAGCTAACACTATTTTTTCATATTATTCCCTACTTAACAAGGTGTTTTACTTTAAAATAAATATGAAGTGATTATTCAATAGGAGTACTTTTGAAAAGAAATGTAATGATTATATCTTAGAGTACTAAAAATGTCATATATTTTTTAACATTGAATTCCTTAAAAAATACCGTATATTTTTAAATGGAGGGAGTATAATGCATTTTACTAAGCCACCTAATACTAGCTTAGTAAGGATGAGGGGGTATAAATAAAGGTCAAGAATATAATCTCTTTTGACGAACAAAATAAAAAAATAAAAAATTGTATTTGATATAAAATATATATTAACAGGCAAGCTAAAGATTTGCTATGACACGCACACACGCGTATGTATGCATGTATGTGTGTTAAAAACAAAACTGTTTTTCCGATAGAGATTGGTAAGGCTAATAATGAAAAAATCACTCCAAAGTCTTTTGTAAAGATTTTAATTACTAAGAGATTCTGTAAAATATATAAAATACTTTCAAATCTTAAATCCTATGTAATTATAACATGGCAAAAAAAAATTTTTGACAACTTGAATATAAGTTTAACATCAAGTTGTCATTTTTCTTTGTCAAGTTGTAATTTTTCTTTGTCAAGTTGTAATAATATAGGATTTGAAATTTGATAATAATTTATACATTTTATAAGATTTTAAGGTAATTGAAATTTTTGCATGGGACTTCTTAATAATTTTCCTTAAATAAAGTTGATAATCTGACTACATGAAGGGGGTGGGGGAAATTTGCAAGGTTAGTTTTGAAATCAGATCGGACATAGCCTCTGCTGCCAAAATATAGTATTGAGGTGGAAGTTAAATCAATTAGATGAGCGTGTGAACCTGCTCTGTTTGCATTGTGGCTGTTTTGGGCATCTGAAGTGTGCCTCATGAAAGAGAGTGCAAAAAATATAAGGGTTGAAAAGACCGATTTTTTAAATATATTAGGTACCTTATGTCAAAAGGTGGGTCAATTCTTTTCTTCATTAATTTTTTCAGAAGCTAAGTTGCCCTTTCATCAAAGGCATGATATCTTTTTCATTATCTACTAATGTAAAATAATTGTGAGGCTATATATAGTAACAATAAGACATTTTGACTTATCGCGTTGCTCTCTTGCGCCTAAAATTAGGCCAGGTTCTTGCCCTTGCTATTACACATTAAATAATCAAAATGGGTTAAAATGTCATACTGTCATTGTGTGTGAGCCTCACAACTATTCTTTGTCAGCAGATAATCAATATTTTAAAAATTAGATTGGACATTGAACCCAAAAAGTCAGCGGGTTATGGTTTTTATGGTTCAACCGATTGAAACAATCGTCGAATTGTTAATATAATAATTAAATAAAAATAATATATATAAATAAAATATCACACTTTTAAGAAAAAAATTAAATAATCTAAATTTATAATGAGTTAACAAATTCACTTGGCAATAATACATGTAACAAATGTTAAAAATAACATGAATAAATTTTAGATTATATTTATTATTTTTCTGGTTTTTATATTAAATATTATAAGTTGTTCATTGTAATTTTTAATACACAATACACACGTATATAAAGGAGAAGGGAAAAAACTCTATTACCTCTTTCGAGTTTTGACATACGTTGGGAGGCGGATATATGTGTACGATAATCATCATTTTAAAATTTAAAAGTTAAATTTAATTTAACTTAAATAAATAAATAAAAAGTAACAAATTATGCTAAAAACTAAATGTAAAGAAATGAGGAGTCGTCTCACGTCTTGTCTCTGTTACATCTCTCTGTTTCAATATCAACCATCGGTACATTGCATTCCACATGCAGGAAAAAAAGGGGGGAAAAAAAAGAGTGAATGAACCATGGCAACACCATTCTCTTCTTCCTTTTCTCTAGGGGTGTTCACGAGACGGGACGGGACCGAGACACCCCCGTCCCGTGTCCCATCCTGAAAAAAAAATCGGGACTAAATTTTGGTCCCGTGTCTCGTCCCGTCCCGTTAAGAGTCGGGACGGGACCGGGACAAGATCGGGACGTCCTGCCGTCCCGATAAATAGAATAATATCGAAAAAAGATTTGGATAATAACGTTCATTAAAATTTTAAATCATATAATTTATTAAGTTTAAAATCAAAACAACACAAGCACATAAATAACAATAATTTAAAATCAATTATTGAATTATATTAATCATAACTACATATTATAATAACAAATACAAGTGATCTTTATGCTATAAGATTAACAACAATAGGTAAGTCAAACACAATATCAAATCATTATTCTTCTACTTTAGTGAAGATATACTAAGCTAATTACTCTTCTAAAAATAAGCAAGAAATATGTTATAAATAAAGGTTATTAAATAGATAGATATAAGAATAAATTATATTAATATAATTAATATATTATAAAGAAAGATATCGTCATATTTACTCCATGCCATTAAAATTATCAAAATAAAAAAACTTTAGTTTTAAATAAGAATTGTAAGTATTAAAATTATAATTGATATAATTAATAGAAGTATAAATTATATTAATATAATTAATATATTTAAAATAAAAAATAATATATATAATATTCGGGACGGGACGGGACGTCTTGATAGTAATCTCGTGTCCCGTCCTGTCCCGTCCCGAGCCCCTTTCCTGTCCCGTCCCGATTATTTTCGGGCCGGGATATTGGGACGATACCAAGCCAATCGGGACGGGTCTATGCTGAACACTCCTACTTTTCTCTTTCTGGTTCGAAATAATCAGATCTACATTTTCAACTTTCATTTTTCCAGTCCAGCGATAATGAGTGCATAGGATCGAAAATATACTTGGACATAAAATCAGTAAGGAAGAAATGCCATTATTTTATCTGGTATTTTTTAGTTAATTTAATTATTATTTCTTTGTCTTCTATTCATCATCTTCTTTGCATATCCTGCTCTTGTTTTCTCCTTCATCTTTCACTTTCATAACCACATACCGAGCCCAAGCATGAAGACTATTGACTTTCCTCTTCCATTTTGCTCCTGGGTTTTCGCTTGAAGTTTTTTTTTTTTTTTTTTTTCACAATATCATTTGTTTTTCCTCTTGTCTCAAACCCGCCCGGCTCTCCTTTGGCCGCCCTCGGTTTCCGGCTTAAAATCTGGTCCACACTAGTCCACTCACTCATACGGTTCAAAGTAAGAAACTGAGCTGTGCCCCCCAACCTTGAAAACACTGCAGATAATGGAGAATATAATAAGTCTCCAATTGAAAGGGCGATTTTACTCTTAAGAAAATTGTTTAGGAGGATACTGTTAAACTATTCAGTATAGGGTGCATAGGCGCTCCTAAAAAAAATTAGAGGCAAAAATAATCCTTAGGCTAATGGATAATTATACAGAGGTTGTAGGATAAGATGTTGAGACCTCATGTAAAGGACACTGACCTGACCCTTCGAAGGTTGTGTAGAGGCCAAGGGGGCAATGAGAAAATAGGTTGGCTAAGGATAATGTGAGGAAAGGGAGTAGGTATGTAGTGTTGGAGGGGGAGAGAGGAGGATTGAGGAAGAGAACTATGGA